GAGTTGTTGCATCTGATGTCTAAAAAATAGTACAGCCATTGCTTTCGCTATCACTTTTTGTTTAAGGTTGAATACCATCAAATTGCGGACACTACGAAGTAAGTTTCATTTATCTACGGTAGACATCTAATATGTGGGTAGCGAATGTCTTCTGGGATTAAGAAATATGACCGTCATTTTTTGCTTCTTTAATCACGTAAGTTAAGGGGTTGCATCGAGGGGTTTATTAAGACACATGCATAGTTTTGATAGCAAGTACTTATTGTGTGATATTATCTAAACGGAGTTCCCAATAAGTAAAGGGTGCTAAGGCTATAAATGTAGTGCATTAGCTAAAGTGCTCTTTGAATTGAATCATTATTTGAGAATTAAAAAGTACCCAAATAATGAAAATATGAAATCATCTAGATAATGACATAAATGAAGGGAAGGAAATAATAACTATAAAATGAACCAATTAGAGGATAATCGCTTTGCATATATGTATGTGTTAAAATATTTTGCAATTCGTCTTCGGTGGGTGGGGTTCTTGGTTAAGTTGTCGTTTTGAGATCATGAATTGTTGTGTGTGCTCTTGATTAGTTCCCCGTCATATTTTGCTAATGCATTCTTTGGTAACGCTGCTATATTTTTTAAAATTAGAAGCAAGAACAATTAGTGAAAGTTTAAACATTCCTAATGCTAGCATATACTAATTACTTGAAGCCCCCTTTCTTTTCTTCATGTAGTTGTTGTTGATGGTGAAAGCCGTTGTTTTAGTAGATGACTCGGGCTAGGATTTCATTACAAGATGGATGGGGACAAGACAATTTGTTTTCAATGCAACATCAGATAATAGTACGAAAATAGCTTACCATGCATCCTCATTCTCACACGACATTGTTTATGTTGGTGATAACATATTCTTAAAACAACAACTACTTCGATGACTATGTTCTGTGCTAATATGGATGATTGCTAAGTGGGTTATTAATGTTTACTTCCTGATCCGTTGGACATTTAATAACTCGCTTTTGTGCATATACCTTATAACTATGCCACATGCTAGCTCATTTTGTTATGGGTTGTTAATTGCAAGGACCAACATAGGCGAAAAGATAATTGTGACCAGATCACATACAGATTTCTCATATTGGGAATCGCGTTTTAATCAATAAACCATGAGATTGCCAGAGAATCTTGAAGATGGCATGTTTTTAATCAACTACTAATAATGTATTGTATGTTGGCTAATATGGCACCATGATAATTCTTCCCAGGTTTGTTGTTTGGATGGTTTTACTGTTTTCTTTACTTTTATGTCTTTCCCATCGGTCTCTTTGAATGCTCGATTTACAAATCTAATTTATGGATGTCACTTATTCCAAATTAATGGGGACCAACAAATTTCAAATTCGATAGCAAAACTTTTCATCCTTGACCTTTGATTTGATTAGAGTTTTAGCACCTACTTCCAAATTTAGGAGTTAGACAAATCTCGCATGTGTTGAATTTAGATACCAAATACATAACTGAAATATATGATCCAAACGATGTTCACATTTGTTATTGAATATCAAATTGGTTTTCTTTCTTTATGAAGTCATGAATCTTTTTTCATAAAATCTCATTTTCACGACAAATGATTGTATATTTGAATCAACAAGTGTTTTATTTAATAAAATTTCAAATAAATACTTCAAATATTTGAGATTTTGGTCAATATAATAGCTTGGACTATCCTTTTACGTCATTGTCAACTCTTAAAACCACAAATATTTTTCGTGAATCATATAAAATTAAAGATCCCAAATCAAGTAAATCATAAATATTGATAAAATAAATTATACGAAATAGAATGAAATTGATCCGACCAACGGGTCGGGTAAAAGCTAGTTTTAATTATTCTCGTAAATGATGTGGAAAACCCCAGATCATATGACACATTCATCACTACCAACTAACACTCATAACACAAGCAAGTGAACCAATGATAAGATTGTGGTATAGTGGCTTCAAATTCTAAATTATCTAATTCCTCAGGTCTCTAAGTTAAACTAGCAATGAAAATAAAATCAATAAGATTGTGGTATAGAGGCTTCAAATTCTAAATTATTTTAAACTATTGATTTTATTTAATTATTCTGGTAAAACTTACTAGTACACAAATTTGGATCATTATCTAGCCAATTTGAATTACTAATTTAGTTACTCCTACCAACTACAACTAGTTAAACTAGCAATGCAATTATTAACTAAAGTAAATGAATGCACATGGGTGCCTCCATCACTAATGATTGCTCGAGGTTTACCAAATCGAGAAAATAGCTTTTTAAGGAATTTACAAACCCAACTAGAATCATTGGTGAGAAAAGCATGTGCTTCGCCACCTTGAAAGAAGAGGGAAAGGGCATAATGAATTTGATACCTCACACATCAAAGACCTCACATGCAATAAAAATATTTTGGGCTTCTCATTATGGGAAGAGAATTTACGAGATAGTTGGCATCAATCACACTTGTGTGAGGCCTTGGTAACAATGGGTGAGGATGTCATGCATCTCCGACTCCATAACACAACAACGTATCACACTATCTGCCCCTATATGGGATAAGAGTGGGTCGTCCTAGAAGTACTGGCAGAGGTCAGAGAAGAACTTCTTTATCTTTTCTTGTGTGATCATGTCGCTGGGGAGCTGCTTTCCGATCAAGTAGTTGGTAACATCGAAGAACCATGGTGTGATACTCTCCGCCAAGCATATCATGAAATTCTCTCGTATGGGAAGGATTAATTGATCTCTCTGTCAAAGGTGTCCACCGTGGGTCCTTCAAGTCTATACATGTGGTCCGCGGCTCGGTTCTCCGCCCCTTTCCTGTCTTTGATATCAAGGTCAAACTCTTGTAGTATCAATCTTTATAGCCGAGGCTTGGAGTCGACCTTGCTCATCAATAACCTTAATTATGAATTAACTATGTATACAATAACATCAGATAAGACAATATACGGACAAACTTGTCAAATGCATATATCACTAAAAGTATATCCTTCTCAATTGTGGTGTAGTTCTCTTGGAAATCATTAAGGGTCTTGGAAGCATAATATATGGGCGGAAAGTGCTTGCCCATTCTCTGCCCAAAGACTGCCCCGACAACATACTCATTGTCATCATGCATAAGCTCAAAGGCAGAGATGTCGATCCAGAGCCACAATGATCATTTCATTTATGAATTTCTCTTTAAGCAGCTCGAAGGCTGACATGCAATCCTCGATGAAGCTAAAGGGGGCATCCTTTTCCAAAAGTTTCCAGAGTCAGAGGGTAATCTTGGGAAATCCTTGATGAATCTACTATAGAGGCCCATGACGACATGTAGAAATTATTAGTTTAGACCCACGTATAATGACCACATGTTTTTCACATATTTATGGCCATAATATCTTGAATTTGCTTAATATTCATGGGTTATAGAATCCTACTAGACCACTTTGTACTTGTTGGGAACATAAAGACTCGACCACTAGGTGCTAGAATCGAGATTTGAGCAACATCGTAAAGCGGTGCAGCAAAAAACTTGATATATATTCTACTTTGAAGGCTTGTCCACTGTTTTGAGGGACGTTCATAATACGCTAAGATGCAACTAATATATTTCATAATTGGTAGCCAAACTGGAGACCCGATAGAACTTAAAAGACGCATTGAAGATCGACTTTACCTCCCTAGAAACCGTAAGAAAAAGTCTATAAATAAACATAAGGGGGTTTAAGATCTATGTTAGTGATAAGAGGCATTAGAGAGTCGTTACTCCGCTGACAGAGTGACTCACCTGACTTAGAGCGAAACTGACCTTGAAGGGTAAATCCGCACCAAGAACAATAGTAGAGCCGCCGTTATCTGTTTGATTTCTTTTGATGCGATTGTGTGCATAATACGATGATTAACTTCAAAGTTTATATCCTCAAACCAAATTTCATGGGTGGATGAGACTGGACACGACAGTCCCTCACAATCGATCATCAATCAATCCAACTGAGCAGAATTTCTTAAGGGAGTGATTCGTTGGGTCACCATTGTTACCTACTAGATCTGGTTAATGCTATAACATGGTAGAAATAAACCCAACAAGAGTCATGCAGATCATATGCAACCGGGATCAATAGTTGATTCTTGGTTGTATGTAGGTGTGTTTCTCCAAGGTGAATATGCTTATTGTATCGAGATGCCCATGTATGGGTTGATGTGACAAGAATGAAACTTATGCATACCTGCACGTTGAATACAATACACACTTAGAAGTAGTCTTATCGCATACCGCGACCTGTGCAATTTGAATGTGGATTCCCCCCCCCCCCGGTTGTTTAATATTTCTATTTCGTGTTCGTTCTATTTGTTTTTAGTATATTAATTTTCTTCTTGTGTCGAGTACATGTGTATGATTCGGGCTTTGGAATAAAAAAACCAAAGCCACTATTTTAGTGGCCTCAACGCCATTTATTAGGGGCAGGTTGCGGTGGTTACTAAGGGCAAATTGTGTATGACAAAAATATTATTAATTAATTTTTTTAATAAATTATTTTTTATGAAGTTACAAAAATATATTAATTACAATTTTCTCTTTCTTTCTCTCACTTCCACAATCTAGAGTCAGATCTCTCTTCCTTTTTTCTCAATATTTTCCTTGTTTTCGTCAGCCGAACTAATACCGCTGCAACAATAAAATAATACTAATTCATTAAAAACACTACCAATGCACAAAACACTAATATCATTTGAGAAATAAAAACACTACCATTTCACAAAACACCAATACCATTGCAGATTTAATCAATATCAATACATGCAAATCAATACCATTACATGATAATCAATAGCAATTCCAAAAACCGACAGCCGAGGGGACAATTTGGACAGGAGCCTAACGTACAGATTTTTTCATGCCTTGTGTTTGTGTATGAGTCATTACAACATTTAAAACTTAATGCTAGTTCAAGACCCACACTAATCCGGAACATTGGATTGAATGTTGTTAATATCGGTTGTTATAAGCTTTGCTAGGAGATGTTTAACCATTTGGCATATTTAGTATACACAAAAATGAAAACAAATGAATGGATGGATCAATCAAACTCCAAACCAGCCTATCATTCATATGGGGCCGAGCCCACCGTGCAATTTTTTAGTTGTAGCCCACTGAAATGTTTGGACTGTCCGTATTGTACAACAACATACAACAATCTCATTTCGAGTCCTTCTATTTGTAAAAAAAAAAAAAAAAGGGAAATAAAAGGAACATCCATGTTTACTATGTACATTGAGACAAAAGGAAAACGTCAAAGTGAAAACAGGGCAACTGCATGTTTACGATTTAGTGGTTAACCATGAGCTGAGGCATTAGGTTGAGCAGGAAGGACAGCTCTTCTTTCGAAAATTGAGGTGGAAGCGTTGTATTGCGCTGAAATTTTCTCAGCTGATCGACTTTTTTGTCCGAATCGTTATCTGATATCGCTCTTGTGATCTCATCGACGAGATCGACGATCACACCTTCAACCCCCATTAGATGTTGCATGTAAACCACTTCACCTACATTGCTGAAAGATGAAAAAAACAAAATAACTCAACTTCCAAGTTTTACTGACCTAATCTAGATTTACTGACCTAAACCCCCCAATTAAAATTCAACACTAATCAAAATTGTAACAGGAAGGAAGCAGGGAGAACAAAGGAATAGTTTACTTCAATTGGCCATATGTAAAGAGGGAGAGCTTGGCTTCCTTGATTCTGGCTATGGCTCCTGGATTCCTGAAGATGGCTTTCACCTCCGACACAATTCCTTGCAGCCCACCTTCCAAGCATACGTGAATCGCCTCCTCCAGTGAATTCCTTCTCGTGTCCGTGTAAATTTCTGAACCCCCATTGGTCAGGAAGAAAACCTGCAACTCCCATATATAATTAACCATGTTCACTTATTAATTCGTACTTGATTAATTATGCTACTTACTAATTAGGGTGACATTTATAGTGTAGATCGATGCTGATTGCAGACTACTACTTACATGATACTTCTGCTGTAATTTTCGCATTAGTTGTGCTGCATCCGGCTGGAAGCTTGAGAACATGATGCGTCTATCTCCGGCATGCTCATGTACCACCTGTTATAGGCATCCGAAAATTTGAGGTTATCGTGGGCGAGTTGCTACCGATTATACATGAGTTTTGTTGTCATGAATTAGAGGTCTTATTATGAATATGGTAAAAAAAGAAAAGTATAGTTTTCATAATCGCGACCTGTGTCATTGAGTATAAGTTGAATCAGAAACATCGCAAAAAAGTATAGGTAGTATCATTACTGATCAAAACAAGTTCAATTAAGGTTAAGTTGTGGATAAATTAGGTAAAGCCCATTTTTGAGTCACAAGGAAGTGATCACTAGGTCACATTAGTAAATATATGTTACCTTGAGAATGACATCTAGAGAATGGGTGAGTTGTTGTTTGGTGTAGACAAGCTGGTCATCAAACTTCAACTCGATGTTGAACCCAACAGGGCTTTCAACTTTGTTGAATGCCTCTTCCAAAGTGCAGAAGCAATCGTCTTGTTCAACTTTCCATTCAAACACCCTCCCATCTTTTGTTTTCCTAAACAATGGCTTCCCAACCCCCTGACCCAACCCAAACATTTCACTCACATTATAGCCTAACCAATAACTTGAACAACACACGCCGAACAGCGAGAGTAAGGAGATTCGATATCGTATCGCGCGTGAACTTACATTCGATTCGTCCTTCTGTGGCCCGTATGATAGAAGTTCTTGTAGAGTGAGGTCAGTGACTCTCTTCTCAACAAGTACGCCCTAAATGAACAAGATTGATTATTGTTACTTAATTAAGCTTCATTAAGGATGTGAACAAGGCTGATTGGTGGTGGTAATTAATAAAATTTACCTGTTGTTGGGTGAAGATGAAGTTGTCATGGAAAATGACCGGGCAGTCATCTTTCGTCACCTACAACAACAGTATAGATTGCAAATTTTTGTGTTGGTTGTTTTTGTGTAACTTGTTTGCCTTTTTCATACAAAAGCATCATCTTCTAAATTGCACAAGAAAGAGAGAGAGAACAACAACAACAACAACCAATCAGTATGCTTTTCTATTCCAAGTCCAAAACTGAATTCACGCCCCTGCGAAATTAGTAAAAATTGTTTACAATATCTAACTATCGAGTCAAACAGAGATCACAATATAAGTACGATGAAATTGTTTGACTAAATATGGTTCTGTGTCGTGTCGTCAAATCTCGAATCCAAGACTATAACAAAACTAGAAGATGGTAACATCTCAATTCACTCAATGATCAACCAGCTCTTATACATTATTTATCTAATAGTAGCGGAAAAGTCTTCAATTTCACTCGTTCGCGCTAGCAGGCCGGGCCAGCCCATTGTTCAGAAGAGTCAACTGGCCCAGGCCCAGGCCCATTAATTATCAGCTAGACCCTAAGAATAGCATGCAGAAGCAGACAAAAGCGGCCGTACGTATAACACACGTCAAAAGGTAAGAATTCTTTCCAGTTCTAGGACAAGGAGGAAAGTCCACTCTTTTTTCCCTTTCCCAACCGTCAAAATCTGCGTACGAGAACGCCGCGGCGAATAGAGACAGAAAATTTCAGAAAAAACCCAAATTCTCTCTCTCGATCTGACTTCCAACTCATTTCCTCCGGAAAATAACAGAGAAAGGTGTTGGGGAATTCTGTTCTATTCTATACCATAGCTGGGTTTTGCTTTTGCACATTTCCATCAACTTAATTAGAATGACACCTTAATTAATTTGTTGGGAAGGAAGGAAACTGACCTGAACGTCGAATTCGATGAAATCGAGGGGGAGCTTGGCGGCGGCGTTGAAGGAGAGGAGAGAGTTCTCCTTGAGGGATTTCATCCTCGGGTCCGGCGATTGGAGCATGTTCATCCCGCTGCCCCTGTGTCCCATTACTACGAACTTCGTAATCGACCCAATCGTTTCCTCTCCTTCCCTTTCTCCTCCTTCTTTCAAAACAACGGAAAAGGAAACCCTTTTGAAATCAGAATCTACGTGGAATTTTCATGAAAAAAGAGAAGAAATGGATGTATACCCTTACGATTGTCAACAGTATTGGCGAAGCCGCGGGGGGAAGAAAGTGCCAGTTGCTGCTGCTGATGATCGAGATTGGGATGAGGGACGTCGGAGACATGAACGGCTTTTACGGCCATCTTTTTATTTTTTATTTTTTTTCCGGGAAAGGAAAAGGGAAAAAACGAAGGGGGAAAAGGGGAACACAAAAGGGGAAGCTTTTGCAGCCCTGTTTTCTTTTCTGGTGTTTGGGTTTTTGTCTCAATGGCAGGTTATGGCGTTGGGATGGTGACTTGGTATTTAAAGGCTTTGCCTTTTGTTTGAGATAATAACATGCAGACACCGATGACTAATATCCATGGATTTTACACGTACGCATACATTAAAGGTTAATAAATTGTTTATTGGTTTAGGGAAATGGGGAGCTTTATCTATTTTGTGTGGTTGGTGTGATGATGATGGTGGTGGTGGTGAACGAGGAAATAGTGAGGGGGGGGGGGGGGGGGGGAGGAGAAAGGCATATTCCACAAGGTGGTAGATTGATGAAGAAGAATATTCTGGACTCTAATTTTGGGGTTCTGGATAATTAGGGAGTGTCGGGTGACTTTCATGGAAAAAGGGGAAAGGGTGCAAAACTGCAAATCCCATGTCCTAATTTTCCAACTAATTTGAGTTCAAGGCCTCTCTATCTGCAAAACACAAAGTTAAATATAGGGTGATGTTCAATTAGTGGTAACACCGACAAATTAACTGGTAATCGAGGATTAACTGATTATAAGTTCGCGGTGCAAGCGCTGATATGCTGAAATTCTTCAAATGTAACCAAAAATTGAAAAGATGATTAACTATTAACCGACAACTAACGGAATATAATTTAGGTTTCTCTCTCCAAAACGAAAATGTCCCTCGCATACGAACTCCTTGAATTTCGAAACCAATCTCCTCCCCGCCTCGACCCTCTTATTCTTTCCTCAATTTGTTAGTGTCCTCTTTTAAAACTAAATTAAAATAATAATTAAAATATATAATTTCTTAATTAGAAAATAAGATGACATGTTTTCATATTCTAAAATAATTATAAAATACAGTAAGTGTATGCAATGCTCAACAAATATGTTTCAATTTATCCTACTAGACAGACATTCACGAATTAATCGTATATTGGATTCTGAAGTTTATTCATGATTTAACCCAAAGTTGAAAAAGCTTTTTCAACAATTAAAGTTCCAACCAATAAAATTAATACAAGTTTGAGAAACAAATAGAGAGATCACGTTGAGCAGAGGGTGATGTCACGGCCTTACTCTTGGTCGTGCGGCCCTAGCTCTCAATTCCGTTAGAGATGCTAGGCACCCTTCTCACAAGCTCCCAAACTCACTCAACTCACAAGAAGAAGACACAAGAAGATGGGAGAAACTCTATAGTTGTATAGCTCACAAAAATGATGGATGAGTTACAATTGAGGGGGATGGCTCCTTATATAGGCATCTCCTCATACAAGGCATCAATGCCTCCCATATGGTCCCTCCCCATTAGTACACCCTATTAAGTTTCCCCCATAATGCACCCATATAATGTCACCGATAATGTGATTCATAATGTGCACTATTAAGCTCATGTTTAAGATAGGAATCCTAGAAGCATCCTATGCTACTAGGTCTTCCATTATGCCACGTGTGCTTGACTTGGTCATGATCCGCCACATCACTCGCCATGTCGCTCGCCACGTGTGACATTCTCCCCCACCTATTCTCGCGACGCCCTCGTCGCGTCCTTGCTACAAAATGCCTCCATCGACCTCGAGCAGCCTCTCTCGACTCTTGAGCCTCGTTGGTGACATTCTCCTCCACTCAATCCAAGACGCCCTCGTCGTGGCTCTTTGGCAGACGCCTCCCTTGTCGTAGCTTCATTGCTTGCAAGGTCTCGTTGCGCCTTCCTCCAAACCAAGGATGGCCTTGGCTTGCCCTCGAGCATTGTGCTCCCATGAAGTTGCGCACTCCTCCGCGGTCTTCTCCGTCGCGTCTTCGAGTGTCTCGCCTTCTCGATCATGGTGGCCTTCCCTTGTTTTTCCTGGCAAGTCTAAGATAACTCATTCTCGTCTCTCATGGCTCCACGATGTTGTGCACTCTTCCTCCTCGTTCTTCTCCAATGAGTCTTCGAGTGAGCCGCTGCCTCCACCATCTTTGCCATTTCTCGTTGCCCTTGCCTTGCCAAACACCTCTTGTTTGACTTGAGTTGCTCCCTTGTCATAGGAACCGATCTTGCTCCGCCATTGATGCAGAATCTATTGGCGTAGGGGGATCGGGAAAGCTTTCTCCCGCACCATGAACTCCATGCCAATGATGACCTGATAGTCATCCAATGACACAAATCAAAATCCATCACCCCGGTCCATCCTCCAAGCTTGAGTGGCACCTGGCGGGTAATGTTTATTTACTACCCAAACCTTTATTAGATTTTTTATTTTAACCAAATCTATTGAAATACTAAGAATTAGCCAAACGTTTTGTAACATGTCAAAATATTAGTCATTTTTACGTTATCGTTAACCATTTTGTAACTCTTTTCTTAGTTAAAACTTAAAATACTAAAATTTTGGAATGTTGACATCCATTGTGTCTTCCTGGTCAGCATCATGTTGTCAAGTCAATATTATTAACAAACTTGCTAACTGAAAGGTAACATTTGACTAATTATTAGTAATTCAATAAGTTTGGCTAATAAAAAAGAATCTGAAAAGGTGTAGCTAATAAATAGTCATTACTCAAAATTGGACGATGAGAAATTGGAGTTTAATAAGACTTTATTTTAGTGTATAAATTTATTTATGTTTTAAATATAACAACAAATGATTTGTAGTGTAACCGGTAACATATTTTCTAATATCTACGGGCAATGCCATGAATTTTAATCAACAAAGAGTATATCAACTTTTTTCTATCTTTTTCTACAAACTCAAACTATTATTTGCGGTCGCTAATTTCCTCCCCCCGCATTTTAGCAAGAACCTTTGGTTCGTAACTATGTGTGAAATGGAGTGTTGCACCCTAGTTGGCGAAAGTGCAGTAGCCGAAAGCATCACTAGCTTACGTTCTGACTCGAGTAGCATGGGGCACGTGGAATCCCGTGTGAATCAGCAAGGAATTCTAACAACCTCTTCCATAAAAGAAACACTGTCGAAAAAGAGATTTCGTCTCGACAACCACCCTATCCGGGGACTGTCAACTCTCCCAAGAACCCAAGTCTATTTATAATGGTGTCCGCTTTCGCGGTTCAAGAAGAATAAAAATCTGTAAACTATGCTCCTTTACTAAAGCCTTAACATGACGCCTGCAATCATCAACAAAGTGCTTTGCACTGACCCGTCCTCGAACCGGGGAGCTGGGCAGAAGGCTTTGCTCTAACCGAAGCGTAGAAAAGCAAACCCATCTTTTACTAAAAGGAAGGTCTTGGTTCTTTCTTATACCCGGAAGTTGGATCTATGTTGAAAACATGAGCAAGGAGCCCTTAGATGTACATAGAGGATCTCTAACAGCTGGCGCAGGATGCTTACTAGTAAACCCAATGGCTTACTTACTCCAGCATTGCCTTAACTTGCTTGTTAGCCTTAGGGACTCTAACCCCTAGAAGTCGAACTCTCTTTCTCAATATCTGTGACGCCTGCTAACGACGCCCTCTTCTACGCTATTTACCCTTCATTACTTCCCCAGCTTTGAGTTCAGTTCCTTTATTTGATCTTGTCTCCTAGTGGTACCATCTCTGCTTACTCTTTCTTCTTTCCATATACAAAGTTTGCGTGCAGAAAAGAGAGAGCAGACGGTTCTCGGCATCATGATGCAAGAATGACATCTGAGATCGCTCATTCCATTGCTTTACAGTCATGATATGATAGGAATGATTCTATTTACTAGAAAGAGACAATACCCTATTTTTAGCATCGAAGAGGGAATTTTTTTTGTGTATACTGCTTATTGAAAGTGAGCCTAAATTGAAAGAGGTAAAGATCATCGTCGATTTGCGATTGGAATATAGGCATCAAGATTGATTTCGAAAGATCATATGGTTTCATTGAAGGAAAGATTGCAAAGATCGTGCCCCAATTTCTTTCAATCAATGTCTTCTCTCAACTATTTTGCACTCATCACTCTATTCTTTCCTCTATTTACTTTCTTCTCTCAATCACAAAAAGAACAAGTCAAGCTCAGATAATGATAAAAAGTTTAAAACGAATACATACATATTTATGAGAATATCAACAAGAACGCGCAATTGAAAAAAAGATGGAGGGTTTCTGTTGGTTCAGCTACAGATCGGTTAGTGGGTTTACCGACGTAATAACTAATAAGAGACTATACAGTTATGTTTAAGAGACGAAATAAATTATATGATTAATAGGAAACAAAAATTGGTAGCTATCGTGATAATACATGTCAAAGAAATCATATAATTAGCTTATAAAAGAAGTCACGCTCTAAAGTAGGAGCGTATGTATATGTAAAACCTAGAAGAAGCCACGCTCTAAAGTATGACATTATGCTACTATTTATCTATAATAATTTGGTTTATTTAATGATTAACTGATAAGCTAATAGACGATTATGATTATAATCGAAGGCATTAATTACATCCCTAGCTAAATTTTATGTTATGTTAATCAAATCAAAAATTTATTATTATTATTATTATTATTATTTTATGAATAAGTTGTTTTATTCATCAAGAAATGGGGCTTCAGTGAAAAACCCCCTAACTGGAACCCAGGCACCACTCAATTACAGCATCAAGAAACCAAAATTAACAACAGTCACAAAACCAAAAAATAACAAAAACCATCTAACTACACTATACTATTGATATAGTCCTCTGAAATGGCAAGTTCTACTTGAGGGAAACCATTTCTAAGCAGTAGCAGCAACCCTTTCAACTTTTCAATCAACTGAGTTTCAGTCAGCACCTCCCAAGACATAACTCTCCTGCATCGTTTCCTCCAAATCTCAGCCACCACCATTACCCACAGAAGTCTCCCACAATCAGAAATAGGACAATTAAGTCGAAAAAGAGACATAGCAATGGCCAACGACCCCTCCCAGCTAGCTCCCACCATGTTTCTCCATGCAAACACAGCCTAAAGAACACGCTGAGAATAAGAGCATTCAAAATAGAGATGGTCTCATGATTCTGCCATAGAGGAGTACAGAGGGCATACATTAACTACTGAAGTATTCCACCTTTGCACCTTATCCAAAGTGGAAATTCTATTCAGAATGACTAACCAGACTAGCAACTTATCTCTAGGAGTCCCAAAGGATTTCCAGACTAACGAGTACCACTGGACT